ACGACGTCGACAACAACATCGACGGAGACAACGACAAGCACGATCACCGGAACGACGTCGACAACAACATCGACGGAGACAACAACAAGCACGATCACTGGGACGACGTCGACAACCACATCGACGGAGACAACGACAAGCACGATCACCGGAACGACGTCGACAACTACATTGACAGTCACTGACACCGTGACAGGAACTACTACAAGGACGGCCACTGAGACGTCAACGATGACCACTACAACGACAGCGACAACTTCCACAACCCCTCCTGCAACAACCGGCCCTGTCAAAGTCATTATCGGCACGCAGAGTCCCTCCTCGTCGACGACCACAGACGACGTGAAGATCCTTACTGGCACTCCAGCCTCCACAACGGCCGCTCAAGTAACCTCTAGCACTTCCACAAACGGCACTCCAGCCTCCACAACGGCCGCTCAAGTAACCTCTAGCACTTCCACTGCCGCATCGCCCAAAAAGAAAGCCCCGCAAGCAACTTCTATTAAGGCCGCGTCCCCATATGATTCATCTTGTTAACCGTTTTATCAGTATATTTAATAACAGAGTAGTTTATAGCACGCATGGCGCATGGAGTGCATGGAGCGCAGAGCTCTAAGGGGCGCAAGAAGCTCCCCCTTTAGCTCCATGCTACTCCATGCGATCCATGCACTACGTGCCGTGCGAGCTGTGAAGCCTTACAAATTGCTCTGTATTAGTGATCTACTTCTAATGGAATAAATAGATGATTAATAGAATAATTTATTTTAGCCAAAGCCATAATAGCCTTTTATTTTATAAGTAGCATCTTCTGGGAACGCGTCTTGTTCGAAAGCATCTCCTCGGGGTATCCTCGCCCTCTTGTGTAGAGAATACTTCTCTGAACATATATTTGTTGTCTCCTCTTCTCTCTATCAGCACTTGTGCTGGAACTTCCGGTATTTGGTAAGCTGAATTTGATCACCAGGATTCTCTTCTTGTTTTACTTATGGGCGAAATCTGGTTACCAAATACCGGAGCCATTCAGTTCGAGATAATGATCTAATACAACAGGCACAGCTGTGCAACAAGTAACGTCCACTAGTACTTTACAACCCGTCGCACCATCGACATCAGGAGCTTTGGTCGAAGTGACGCGATCTGCCGAGGTTTCGGTATCTCTTGCCGATGTTAGGGCATCTTCGTGATGAAAATGATGAAAATAATGTTGCAATTAGTTGTCTTCATATATTACAACTCAATCTACCTCTACTAGATGTAGTTGCATCTTCTCACATTTCAAGCACTTTTCTCTGCGTTTCAAAGCTTAAAACGTATTGAACACGTTGCAGTACGAGTCGAACGCGAATAGTGCCAGAACTAGACTCAGCAAATAAAGTAAGGGTAAAGCCTTGAAATGGTGTAGATCTTCTTGATTGGTACTCTACATGCGGAGCATCGCTTACGCTGTCCTTTTATGAGTTTGACAGAGTCATCGACGTGAGAGCTCACTTCTAATGCAAGAGCAGACGCTGCAGCGGTTGTGGGCGACACGAAATTCGTGGACTCTATGAACACCGCCTTCTCTTCGACGATGGGAGTCAACAAGACGAACGTTACAGATACATCTTATGGAAGAAGGGAGTAAATGATATCGATGCTGAAAGTTGATGCGTGTCCTTCATCATCCTCGGAGTCGAGTAGGTGCCCGGGATGCTCAATGTTGTTGCAGGATTCACACGCTCGCCTAACCTAAATGCCATTGTCAAGAAAAACGATGTTGATGCGTGTCGATAAATAAGTGTCACCGTCAGAATGCTCGAAACTAAAAATTGTGAATGAACTTCTTGCTTTTCCTTTTTCGCACATAAAAATATTGTTCTATGAATCCGCAATAATATCCTGATTCTGATATTGATGACTTAAATTTTGTTGATTTTGTTCTCTTTCATACCTCTGTGGAGATCCTTTCTACGACTTATTTTTGTTGATTTTGTTCTCTTTCATACCTCTGTGGAGATCCTTTCACATAAATTTTTGTTGATTTTGTTCTCTTTGTCTTTCATACCTCTGTGGAGATCCTTTCTACGACTGGAACTTCTCTCGCAGAAACCGGACGCCTTATTTTGGGTGAGAGTGATACCCATTCCGCTCAGCTCTCTACTCAGCTGGAGGGGAGTGACGCTCAGCGGGGGCCTTCCGAAGCGCAAGAAGAACTTCTTCACCTTAGCGAAGAACACGCAGTGGAGAGGACGGAGCGAGGTGGTGGAGACCGTGTCCGTGCAGAGGAGACGGAGAAGGAATGTACGAAAATTTGAGAAGATAATTCTGCTTGTGTTTATTCTACCTCGTCTTGTGCTGGCACATATAATTAGCTTATAGAAAATCAAAATCTTCTAGAGGTAGAACAAACACGAGAAAAACAAAGCGATAATTCTATGTATATCTATTAGGTTTTGCGTGATGATCTAGTACAACTAGTATACTTTTTATGTGAAGAAGATTACTCGTCCTATATGCAAATTATAGTTTACTCATGAAGATGGTACGTAAACTGGCGATTCTGCTGTGCTGTGTACTAAACACAACTATTTCTACTACCTCTAGTCGTAAAGTTAGTAATAGTTCACAGGTAGCTTTTACTGCTTGCTTCAGAAGTGCGAGGCAAAAGCCTGCTTCTGCTATGAATTTGGCCTTGTAATTGTATGAGAAGTTGTATAATTCAGCTTTGCTCCAAGATCATCTAGACGTAGACGCTGCTAGTTACAACAATATACCAGGATGTGCAACAACATCTTCTACTACGACATCTTTCCCTTCTTTGATGAGTCTGAAATCTTCATTCCACCAGCTGCGCTTGGCGTAACAAAAAACGTAGTGAAGCACCGTCTTCACAGAGTGCAACATTACCACAGACGAGTCGTTGCGAAGAAGAAGAAAGCCGTAGTCGTAAAGGTTTTGGTCACGGTCACTGCTACAGTATCACTTAAGGCAAGAACGAAAACGAACATTGCTACTGTTCTTTGAATACTCTGTTCATTAGTTTTTAGTTCTAGATTTTCATTTTGTTACCTCCTCTCCATTGTTTTTATCTTTTTGCCACGTACTAGGACTAGCAGGTGCCTCGACTTTATTGTGATAGACGACGCACGAGGATTGTCATCTTATTCTACCTGTCCGGATCCAGATAATAATATATTAGAGTAGTTTATAGACGGTGGGAAGGTGGGCACGGTGGGCCACGCTGGGCCGCTGGGCGACCACGCTGGGCACGGTGGGCGATCGCTCGGCGGACGCTGGGCGAACGGTGGGCGAAAGCTTGACGAACTCTTTGCTTGGTGCACCTGGAGGCTACGCGCAGCATCCCCGGCCCTGATACCACTCAGCACAGCGCGGCGCTGTATCCTAAGCGAGCATACTTTTCTGATCTACCAACCCACACCACACCATAGCACCGGCGAAGCTGTATGCGAGCGTGAGTTTTTTAGTATGTTGAGAGGTCACGCATGGCTTGTTTGCAGCCTGTGGCAGCGAGCGAATCGGTCGGCTCAGTCGTCTCATGGCGAGAAAGATGCACTACTTATTGACTCGCTGCCTTTTAATTTCGTGTCTCTACTCCTCGGCTAGTGAGTAGTGATAGAGTTCTTTCCTTTTCGCGCGGCTGGGGGCGAGGTTCGCGGACGTTGCTTGCGAAGGCTCTGGACAAGTACATCGCTGAAAGACATAGATCTAAGCCGCTACCAGATGATGGACACTTGGCGCTATTCTACTCACTTTATTTGCCTTGCAACTTGTTGTGGCTCAAGATTCAAATACTGCATGTACCGGGGGGCTGCAGAAATGGGCGCCCGAAGGGCGCCCCGATTTTTGACCCCTGGCCTCACGGTGGGCGCACGGTGGGCGAAATATCTGGCAGAGGACGCGCATTTGGGTCGCCCAGCGGCCCAGCGTGCCAAGCGTGCCCACCGATCCAATTCTGGGAACTCTATAAACTTCTCTAATATATCTTCCTTCTTGGGCTTAACTTCAATTGCTGTTCCAGCTCCTCGGCTTTCTTCTTTGACTCCTCGTAATAACGTCGTAGGATGGGCTCCTTTTTATTCCAGCCCTCCCTTTTTATTATGCTCGCAGCCTCCTACATCTAGCACAATATATAATTCATCAATGGCCATTGAAATGGCTCTGCTCGTTCTGCGGAACTCAACATAAAGAAATGGTACTTGCTCATCTGTTGAGAACAGGATGCCACTCTGAGTAAGCCTCTTTCTGGTTGAATACTAGTTGTAGTTCCCGTTCTAAAACCCAAAGCCAGGCTACAAGTGTCGCAAGAGCGTGGCCTAGTGGCACCACACCTGCAGGCCTCGCGGCTGCGGTAAGGAGGAGCTTATCCGCCTCCGGACTCGGCGTATCGGTTACGGGCGCCGTGGGTGTGCAAGTTTTATGAAGAGTCAGAGAGACTGTCTGATGCAACTATCTTCGTCGAATTTCTGCTCGAGGAGGATTCACCAACTCGAAGAACTTGTGAAGATTGATTGTGATCAAAAATCTGAAGAAGAACTAGTACAGGAGCACGATTCACAACAAGTCCCATCCTCTTCCTCGTCGAGGAGCATCGTCTCGCTATACCACCAAACTTTCATCCGTCCCATCGTCCTCCTCGCCCCTTTCATGACATCCTGCGACATTGAACTTGCCCCTACCACCCTTCCCGCAGGATGAAGGCGACCTCTCGGTTCGTTTCCCGGAAGGCAGGTCCTGCGCCGTCGCATCTGCAAGCGTCCTGCGAGGTCCTTGTGGCAGTTTGGTGGATGACTTCAACTTATGAAGATAATGTTAATGATATGTTATGTGTTGTACCTAATAATAATATGTCGTGATGTTTATTACCCTGAACCAACAGCACAAGCCAAGGACTGCGCTGCATGGACAAAAAACGAAGAGCGAAGCGCCTCAGCCTGGGGCCAGTCATCTCATGAAGAAAATCCGCTGCGTCTGCGTATGTGCTACAAAAAGGACCCACATGCAAACAAAGAAACGCAAACAGAGGCAAGCACCCAGCAGCTA